AAGGATGCTTTGTCCTACCACAGACACGCTTGCTCAGTCATGTTCACTGCTGCTCTATTGATAATAGCCAAAAACTGGAAGCACCCTAAATGTCCCTCAACAGAAGAATGGGTGAAAATGCAATATATTTACACAATAAAATATTACTTGCCTGTTTAAAAATGGCATCATGAAATTTGTGGAGTAAATGGATGGAACTAGAAAAAAAATATGTACATGTATGAAGATGATCTACGATGAAATTGCCCTATAATGGGGGAGACAGAACCCCAACTGGGCATTTCTTGTCACCAAACGAAGCTTCCAGCGCCAGGAATGGGTTACATATAATTGAGTAAACAACTCAGGTTGCTGCCAAGGCTATATGTCCCTCTCCACAATCTGACAGCAAGACCCCATTGCCGAAGAAAACACCTGCGGAGCTCGCTGAACATGGAGAAGTCGAGTGGGTGCCAACACAGAGCAATTAAGCTAGTTTCCAGGGAGAAACTGTGGTTTTCAAATCTCTTCAAATCACGTTTTCTAGGCAATTTGGCCATTTCACAGAGACAGACCAGTACAGTTCCCGTTATCTTGATACAAGCAAGATTTGCTCTCTGAGCAGCTGGCAGCCAAGGTCCTTTCTCCAAGGCAGTTTGTCAAACACTTGCTTCTTTGGTCAAGAGAAAGGGGCTTGAATGACTAGGCAGGCAGCAGTTCGTCAAAGCAAAGCTTTGGCAAACTTAAACTTTCATTGAGTCAGAAGTATATAACTCTATTTCCTTTAACGCCTTAGAGGGTTTAAGTGAAACCCGTTAGTGGGCTCCGTGCCTTAAAGTGGTGGTTGTGGCAGAGCCCCCTCAACTTCAATACTTATTTTCATGTCATTGAATATTGTTTCTGAGTAAGTTTATTAGTAAATTCATCTTAATCATTTTTAGTTGATGTAAACACTTGTCAATATGTCTGTCCCTCCGCACTGTCACCCTCCTGACTTTGTTGTGACATAACATACAAATGTCTATGGGAGCACAGAATGTTTGTGCTGGACTGTGATCACAGCATGTGGGGGACAGAAGCAGGCGGATCTCTGAGTTCAAAGTCAGCCTGGTCTGCATTGCAAGTTCCAGGCCAGCCAGGGCTACACAGTGAGATCTTGTCTCAACCCAAAAGGTATCTGTAAATACACAACATCAGTTTCCCTCCTTGACTACTTCTTCCCAACAAGATGATAATAGGCTTGCCTCCTGCTTTGATTTTAGTTCATGTCTTAGGTTTTTCACTCTGACAAATTTGTTGCTTCAGTAACGGAAAGAGTAAAAGAACCAGTGTACAGAAATTCAAACATCAAAAAGATCAAGTTATTTCATATGCCAATTTTGAAACAGGTACTAGTACTGCATTTGATGAATTGGAAGTGGGAAAGGTAAATTTGTTTTTTTTATTTATTCAAGGTTTCTGTCTCTTCCCCACCGCCGCCTCCCCTTTCCCTCCCCCTCCCCCAGTCAAGTCCCCCTCCCTCATTAACTCAAAGAGCAATCAGGGTTCCCTGCCCTGTGGGAAGTCCAAGGACCACCCACCTCCATCCAGGTCTAGTAAGGTGAACATCCAAACTGCCTAGGCTCCCACAAAGCCAGTAGGTGCAGTAGGATCAAAAACCCATTGCCATTGTTCTTGAGGTCTCAGTAGTCCTCATTGTCTGCTATGTTCAGCGAGACTGGTTTTAACCCAGGCTTTTTCAGACCCAGGCCAGCTGGCCTTGGTGAGTTCCCGATAGAACATCCCCATTGTCTCAGTGGGGAAAGGTAAATTTGGACTACAGATAAATAACAAATAATATCATTAGTGTAAACATGTCTCCGATATTGCAGGTAAAAATTTCATCAATTTATGAATCTCTGAACTTGAGAGGTTGAAGCAAGAGGATTACAACATCAAGGCTAGCCTGGGCTTCATGGGGAAGGTCTGTCTCAAAAAATATTTATCTTTTTATCTCTATTTTTTAAAAAAGCTTAATGTTTTGTGGGTTTTGATGTTGTTTTCGAACCTCATAATTGTAAATTATAGACATTGTTGGTTGTGGAACTAGCTTAAATAGCTGTCGCTTTCCATCCTAGTCCGTTTACATTTTCTTTATATTTCAAGATTTAAGAATTAAAGTGCATTGAACCTTTCTATTCGTTGTCTATCTGCTCATGCAGATATGCGAGCACACACAGACACACACACAGACATACACAGAGACACAGAGACACACACACAGACACACACGCACAGATACACACACTCACACTTGTGCTGCCACCCTGCCATTCTCTGTCCCTTTCAGACACATCAGGCTCCAGACTGAGAAGCAGGTGACAATAATAGATCTGCTGTCCTGTGCCCACCTTTATCTTGGATGATAACCCACCACCACTGCACCAGCCAACTCCCCCTCCCCTTTAGCTCCATAGCAGCACCACACCCCAGCCAGGGATGTTACTGTTTTTCTACTTCGCACACTAGATGGTTCTCTGTCAGGAGGAGGGCAGTCATCTGCCATCTCATAGCTCCTACAGGAAGGACAAAGCTAACAGGGTTTTGTGAAAGCTCCACTTACCATTCTTTTTTTAGCACAAAAGAGGCTCCACTTTTCATGAAACCATGGAAACCAACCGAACAGGAAGCTCTTTCACTTACATAATTTTCCGTGCCAGAACATCAGTCTCAGAAATCTAAAGGACAGACACAAAAGCACAGGACTGACACTGCCGGAGTCACGTGGTCTTGGAGCTGACTTGACACGCAGGGCCCCTGGCAGGTGGGAAGGGGGCAGCAGGCAACTGGAGCCCTATCCCGGAGGGCTCCTTCTGACTCCATCCTTTCGCCTCTGGGCAGCACCTGGCCTAATGCCCACCCTCTTGGCTGGCTCTGCCTTCCATGAGGGAAATTCTTCGGCGCATCTCCTGCTGTGACAGCTGAGCCACAGGGGCAGTGACTGCTTCTCTTCCTACCTTGCCTGCTTGCCTGACTTCCCAAAGGGACCTCACATACCACATTTGTAATTTTGCACAGATATTACAGGTTTGAGGGCAAAGGTGGTTCCTAATTCAGGAAGAATCCTGTGGTCCTGGATGGAGAGTCACCTTTTGGACTAAAGGTGACAATGTCCAGAGTGCCTATTGCTTCCTGTTGTGCAAAAGGGGGAAGACAGAATCAAGGACACCTGTTGCCCCCCCCCTCACTGGCCCACGGTCATGGAATAAAGGGGTACAATTATGTCAAGAGTGCCTGTTGCTTGGCGCCCCCTTGTGGACTAAACGGGACTGAAAAAGTCAAGATGCCTCTGGAGTACCACTTACGTGTGGTTCTGTGTCACAGACAGCACACCGTGGCCTTCTCCAGCTTTTCCTTAACAGGGGATGGTCAACGCTCGGAAGTGCCTTCTTTGTATAGATAACACTGCTTCCCGGGTTAAACCTCTAATTACAGAGAGGGCTCGGCTTGCCATCGAGCTGATGCTCTTGGATCTTAGGGTCTTTTCTAATGGCTGTTGAGCTGGGCTCCGAGGGCATGCTTCATTTGACAGGCATGGGTGCTCTGTCCAGGCTGCAAATGTCCCATTACCTGTTGCCCCAAACACCTGGGTGTGGTCCCAGCCAGTTGGAGTAAAGGCTTTCGGGTGGCTACACACTGGGTCTGAGTGGTCATCTCTCGGGGGGGGGGGTCTCTGTAACAGTGTGACCCTAGGACCTGCTGTGTACAACTGTCTAAAGCCAAAGAAACTTTGGAAGCAGTTCTAGGCAAGCCCGGGTCGCTCTTGCCAGGATCTGGGGCGGTCTTGTGAAGTACGTGGGAGCTATGTCAAGAGTGCCTGTTGTCCCCTTGTGGACTGTCCTAGCTAGGGGGACTACTGCTATGATGAAATACCATGGCCAGAGCAAGTTGGTGACACAGGGATTTATTAGGCTTCCAGCCCCACATCAAAGTCTACCAGTGAAGGAAGTCGGGACAGGAACTCACACCGGGCTGAACCTGGAGGCAGGAATGGGTGCAGAGGTCGTGAAGGGGAGCTGCTTACTGGCTTGATCCCCATGGTTTGCTTAGCTAGTTTTCTTATAGAACCCAGGACCACCAGTCCAGGCATGGCACCCCCACAGTGGGCCAGACTAGATGGGAACGACAATGTCAAGAGTGTTTTTTCACGCCCTCATGGACAAAAGGTTTTGAACGACAAAGTCAAGAGTGACTTTTGCTCCCCTCCCGCCATGAACTCTATTGAACAATAGTGTCAAGAGTGCATGTCACCTCCTCGTGAACTGAATGGGAACAATTTCAAGAATGCCTGTCACCGCTAGTGGACAAAATGTGAATGATAACGACAAAAGCACTTGTCAATTTGTCCGAGACTAACCAGGAACAGCAATGTTGAGTGCCCAGGACCACGCAGGGGTGGATCTGGAAATCTGGCTCAGTCAAGGGCCCAGCTTGGAATGTAAATGGCCTTAGGCGGTCGCTGGCTATTCCCACTGCCCTCACCCCACTTTGGACGCATCTACTTCCTGGACTACTGAGCTCATCATCAGAGAACCCACCCACCCCAGGCATTTACAGTACTGGAAAGCACACGTGAAGAGTGGCAGACTTCAGCCCCATCGGGGAACACACTGATTCTCAGCAGGAGCTTGCCCTGTCTTTCCTTGTATGTACAGCAGTGGGGTGAGCTGAAGGCAGCGGGGTGACAAGGGGTGGCGAGATGGAGGATGTGTAGGTCAGCGTGATCCATCACTATATTTGCAGATTTCCTGTGATGTGTAGGGGATATGGAAGACGATTCAATTATGCCACATTTATGCAAGGATACCTGTTAGTTATTCTGTTTAAGGGACATTTCCATAATACTAGAATCACTAAGATATTTACAACAATATTTTAGAAATCGCAAAGGCAATGGAACAAACATATTGAGAATCCGCCTCTTTATTGCTGAAAAAATGGCTGAGAAGTTAGGTCGCTGTGGCCAGCATAGGCAGTTGAGATGTTGGTGGCACAAGAAGAAGCCATTCCCATCTTGCTCCGGGACTAGGGTGACACTGAAATCTTCAGAGACAGGTGTTCTGGGGCCCAGATGGTTCACTTCTGGTCCTCCTCCTCCCATGTCTTCTGTGTGCAATGCTCCTAATCTTAAATTAGCCCTGCACTCGGAAGGATAAGGGACCGCATTAGTACACTAAAAAGCATGCAGATAAAACAAACAAACAAAAAAAAAAAACACTGACATTTGGTTGAATTTTTTGGTAGGAACTCGGGATTGAACCTAGAGCTTCAAATATGCCAGGACAAGTGCTTTATTCTTGAGTTATAGGCTCAACCCAACTTGTGAGATCGTAGATTCCAGACCAAGAAGCCCTTCATTTCGTGCTGTTCTAATTCAGTGAGGGGCTGAGGGTATACTAACTGCTCACTGTGGGTGAACTCTGGCTTCCAGTCACAGAGCTACAGGGGAAAGGCCTGAAGAACCCTGTTAGGACAGAAAACACTGCGCCCTTCCTTCAGCAAACCCCAGTGACCACCAGGAAACGTTTCAGGCTCTGTAGTAGATGCCGGCCATTCAGTTTGTATCTAGGGTGAGGCAAAGGGCTCTTTCTGAATGCAGCCTCTCTCTCCTGGGCCACTAGAGGGAGCATTTCTCCCTTTTAAGTATGTGGCTTGCAAATTCAGCACTACTCATGGCCCGGAGCTCCACAATGGCAATAGCAATGTGGACAAAGAGAACAGACTGTTCCAGGGAGGGAAATGAGGACCATGCTCACGTCCAGGACACTTTCACAATATAGTTCTGATGATGCTCAGAAAGCAGAGCAGGCGAGCTGCGGGACAAGCCTTTTGGAGACATTCATGTTAAGATGTCTGAATCTTAAAACACAGTCCTTCACCTTCTTTGTGGCATGTGGGTCACTCTACCCTCAGAGGGCCATTGAGAGCACACTAGGTAAACTGAGGGCAGGACAAAGCAGCTTGGCAACCGTCAGCTTCTCCGTTCCAGGGCTGCTTTTGAACTCCTCAGAAAGCAAATGCCGTACTACGCACTGTTCCCTGAGCACCCTGAGCCAGACCTGGCTTAAGCCTGGAGTGTAGCCTTGGATGTATGTAGCCTTAGGGGTCTGAGAACAGCTAGTGTTTCAGAGACGCGACCTCCCCAGTCTTCAGGGCCTTTTTGTTAGTGCGCACACACGAGGGAACTCAGAGATACACCTAATGCCGTTATTCCGATGCCCCCTTTGAATCTTCTACTTTCCTTCTTCCCAGAAGAACTCCTGTACAGCTTGGACTTTCCCCTGCTCTCGTGCGACCACTTCTGAGTCCAGTGAGCTGCAAATCCACTTACCTCTGCCCGAGAAAAATGGAAAAAAAATATTCCAAACTACCACAGGTAAGAATTTAACCCACAGTGAGGTCTAGCCCCCACCATCAACCAATCACACAAAACAGTTCTTCATGATACCTGCCAGGGATGAGGAAAACAATCTGGTGTCAGAAAGACATTCACTACCAACATAAATGTGTGGGTTTGAGGCGTGCGCGTCTGTCTGCTTTTATTTGAGGCGGGGTCTGATGTGGCCCAGGCTGGCCTTGAACTCCTGATCTTCACCTCCAGGGTCGTGGCATTATGGGTAAACACCATCATATGTGGACTCTTCATATATCAGGAAGATACACCAAGATGTACCAGACAATTTAAATTCAGGTAGTGAATTCAAAGCAGCAACGCCAGGAGAAGCAGGCTGCTCTCCCCACCCCATCACTACAATGGCTGAAGATGTACAAATTCCCTCCTTCCTCTTAGAATTTATGCTTAAATTTACTATCAGAAATAATAACACAGAGCTCATAGATTCATAAATTTGGATGATTTCTTATATTTTTGCTTGTGGGCCTAGCCTTTAGTGGCGGAGCCATCCCTCCAGGTCAAATTTGGGGGATTTCTACATCATTCTTTACCCAAACATTATGTAAAGGGCAGTAATATTCTTTTTCCCTTTAGGAAGCCACATTCTCACATACTGGGGCTTTCTGACTCCATTTTGTACCCACAGAGTTTAAAGACCCTCCCCAAACCTAGAGACTTCAACAACAGCCCACCAACTCAATATAACTAGGACAAAGGTATTCAAGATCTCAGGTGAGTTTTAGAATGGCTATCCTGCCAAACGGCTTTTTTTTTTTTTTCAGATTACCGACCTACATTCGGGACTCACACCCATCCATCTTGCGCGATCCTTCCTAAAAGGAAAAACAAACAAACAAACAAAACACATTCAGTATGTGACCCTGTGGATGAAATTAAAGCAGGCACAGTATATTTCATATTCATGCTTCAATGTTTGTCCTATCAGCCCCTCCTCCTGCCCCCAACAGTGTTTGCAGCATCCACCTTGAGGCTTAATTTACCCTGAGTTCTCCCACCACCACCCGGTACCAACTTAAAGGGGAAGCCAAAAAAAAATCATTCATCAAAACACATCATGGTCCAATGTAATTTAAAGATACACAAAGCAATCAAGAGATGAACAGATATAAAATTTCAAGCAAAGGCAGAACTCCAACCTCAGGCTTCTCACTCTGCTCTGGCAAGACCTTCCCTTGCTGCAGTCTCCAAGAGGACTCGTATTGTATTTACAGCAAGAAAATGGTTTCTTTCGCAGCTGCCCTAGCTTTCGTCATACCCCAGCACCCATCTGCAGGAGGATGGAGTTGGGCAGTCTAGAGTTGCCAGGTGGCCTTTCTTTCAAGAGGGGATAAGGGGGGCCTGGGAGAGAACCAAGATCACCTTGAACTAGCATGTGTTCTCTGAAAGCTGCCCACTATGGGCAAGGTAAGGCGTGTCTGCATACCTTGCTGGCTCGACTCTGCTGGAGAATGGTCTCCCATTGCTCCAGCTGCCGCTGGGTGAACCGAAGGTGGTGGCGGGCCATCGGCCTCTCCGGAGGCTTTAGGCTTTTCTGACTCTCCGTACCCTCAGCAACCAGCTCCGTTTGCTCTTGCTTCATGCCACTTCCGCTGGTGCCACCATTTTTCTTCCCGTCACCCACAGGACCTGGAGCATTAGGACCAAAGGAGCCTCCTCTTCCTCCTTTTAATTCTTCACCTTCACTGTCTGCTCCCACTCCTCTTACTCCAGGCTGGCCCCGTACAACTTTCTTCTCTCTCCCCTCTCCAGCCTGAAAGATCATCTGTGCTTTCACATCTGCAAAAGAGGAAACAGCCAGAGAAAGATCAGGGCATCAGGGCATCAGGGCTGAGTGTGCATGAAACGGAGAGACAAAGCACTGAAGAGCTATGTATAAAGTGAGCTGACGGTGGGTGCTGCCGCTTCACTCATTCCCTTCTGCCAGGGGCATTTGCTTCCCGGCGATCACAAAAACACCAATTCCATACCGGTACTGACCATGCTGCTCTTCCTGGTCCTCCTTGACTCCCAGGCAGAGTAAGCAGGTGATGGCCCGCCTGCAGCCTTGAGAGGCCATACTCTGATGAGTCGATGAGGAAGTACGCTTCTGCTGATGCTGGTGTCCGGGTACCAGAATGAGAGAGCTGCACTCCAACCTGGAAGGTGTCTCCTCAGGCCCAATTTAGTTTCCAATGTATCCAGTCCTAGGCTTGTTGGCTCTGTTTTCTGCTCCCTGGTGGTTCCTGTGGGTTGAGCCTTCAAGGCACAGAGGCAGCGGCAGCTTAGGGGGTGGTAATGAGTACGACGTGCCTGCAAGAAGGGGACAGCATGCGGGCATGTGGGTGTGCAAAATCTGAGACGCCAGGTCACAGCTCAGCGGACGGCTCTGACTTTGGTAAGATATGCAGTGAGGCATAAAGGTCTCAAGGGGTCACACCGGGTACTTCTTTGCCTTTCGTTAATTCAGACAGTTCAGTACCAGCTCTTTCCTGGTGAGATAGCTCACCAAGACTAGAGCAATCTTCTGACCCAACACCTGGAGGCCTAAGTTCTGTTCACACACACCGATGGCCACATGGAAAAGTGACTTAGCTGTTTTGTTTCATTTTGTTTTGTTGGGGTTTCTAGACAGGGTTTCTCTGTGTGTAGCCCTGACTGGCCTGGAGCTCGCTCTGTAGGCCAGGTTGGCCTCAAACTCAAAGATGCCTCGCCCCCCCACACCCAGTGCAGGGATTAAAGGCGTGCGCCACCGCCACCAACACCCGCCTCAAAGATGGCTCTTTAACAATTCATTTAAAACCCAGTATTCCCCTGGAGAGAAGATGGTGCCCATCCCTGGCTCAGGCTGCGACCCTTCACCACGCCTCCCCCAGCACATGGGCCTGGAGGCTGGATGATTCTCTTTATGGTTCCTCTTTTCCAGCTGGGACTGCAGTAGCGATCTTGCAGGCTAGACAGGAGGATGAGAGGATGAACAGTGGGGAGCTTGCACAAGTAGCTGCAGCTTGGGCAGAAGCAGGGAAAAAAAGAAAGGGAAGAAGGGGGGCATAATCACTCACGACTGACAACAGAAACCACGAGGACAGTGGCCCTAGCAGTAGGGACCCAAAAAACGTGAGCACCATCAAGAGCAGCCAATTCCTGAGGACACAAAGGGTCTTCGGAACACACAGCTTCCCACCGCCATACGAGCCTTCACCTAATCACAGCGGTGGGCGCTGGAGAATAAGCTCCAAGAAAATCATTACGCACAGCCTGTGGGCACAGTAAGCAGATTGCACTGCCTGGTGCCCAGTTCGCAGGGAGCATGTGCTAGTCCAGCACGGGGTTTAAGTCTCTAATGGGTCCCTCTCCCTCAACCTGAAACAGAAGCACCTGCAGGGCTCCAGGCTGCCCGGCTCCCTCCTCTAGGAGTTCGGAGCCTGGGTCAGAGTGAGCGCCTTGTCAGCTGGGAATGAAGGCGCTCTTGTCTGTGCTCTGCTGAATCAAGTTGGAGATTTGAGCTGTGGATGATGTTACGTCCTTACGAACCCTGCACTCTGGACATAGAAACAGGAAGTGCTAAAGGCCAGCCTGAGGTACACGAGACCCTGGAAACAAATAAGAAAGCCATCGCATGCCTTTGCGAAACTGCACTCCTTCCTCTGTGGGAGTCTGTCAGATGCGTTATTGTGTATCGTCCTTTAGCCGACCTAACAGATTTTCTTTCCTGGCTCTGGAATGACTGTGTTTTGTCCTGGTAGTATTGTTACTGGGCCATATCTACCTGTGATGATTCAAAGTACTTTCCCATTTCCTTATGCAGAGGTGACTAATCATAGATGCTTACACTCAAAGGTGGCTATGTGAAGCTGTAGAAAATCATGAGTTATATAAAAGCTATTTGGGGAGAAAAAAGGCAAGCCAGGGGAGAACATAGGGATGATGTTATCAGCTATGCCGCTCACGCCCTCCTGGGAATGCAGCGATGGAAGAAGCCTTTTTAGATCAGCGGAGCAACACGGCCAGCCCCTGAGGCTCTTTCCCAAGCCACAGCCTGGGATCAGAGAGAGGCCTGGCTCAGAAAACAAGATAAGAACTCTGTGTTCTCAGACAGGCCAGCTGGGGAAGCAGGAAGCTGAAGGTTGCTGAGCTGCCTCACTCCTCCCTCAGTTTACCTAGTGTGCTCAGTAGCAGTATGAGGGCAGAGTGACTCTTCTGTCACAAATAAAGGAAGCAGCAATGTTCTCCCCACTCGGGTCTTTCCCAAAGGCTTCCCAAGGCATCTGGCCAAACTATTTTAACATCCTTAAAGCTAAATCAGAAAACCAGTAGGTGGGGGTGTGGGGATCTGGGACTATATCTCAGAGGTTGAGTGCTTGCCTAGAATTTTATTCATTAGGCCTTGGGTTCAATCACAAGCTCCAGCACACACACACACACACACACACACACACACACACACCACAACCCACACACATGCTTGTGCACACATGCACAATCAGGGGCTACTGAGTACCAGCCTTAGAGCTCCCTCAGAACAGGATGTCTACAGCCAGCCAAAACTGGCTGGGAAAGGGGATCTATAGGGTAGAACAAACCGACTCAAGCACCTTTCTTCTGCAGGTTTCGTTATTCCTTGGGGGAAGAAGAAAAAAGGAACGTTCTCCATAGGGTTTTCAGTTTATAGAGTCGTACAGACAAGTTAGCAGTTCCACAGGCGGTGACAACAGCATCAAACACGCATTTTAGAGTCCCAGAGGCAGGTAAGGGAGGCCTCTTACATCTCAGAGTGGGGGAGTGGCTGTGAAGATCCTGGCAGATAACAGGAGGATTAGTTAAGAATGGGACTTTTAATTACGAATTCTAAATCACAGAATTCTAAGGCGTTCTCCCGCACTAACTACAGTTTTTAACTGTAACTAGGAGTTTATGGTTGATAATTGTAGGGAAATGCAGCAGCGCTGCAGTGCTTTCTAAACATTTCCACTTCCCTGGCAGCAGGAAACTCTCCTTTGGTAGCCATAGCAACCTGTGGACCTGGGAGGAAGGCAAGATGCTTGATTTGTACCTAGCTGCCTGAGAAAAAGAAGAAAAAAAAAACCTCTTTAAAGATTTTGCTTTCAGCTGCAGCAGGGTACCTGCCAGTACCCAGTGAGAATTTCTTTCCCTGAGGCTGGGTTTAGTGACTCAAGCCTTTTTCATGTATCTCTAGGGGTAAAGGCAGAAACAGTTAATTTTCCTGAGCTATGATCTTATGTTGATTGAAACCAAGGTGAAGAATAAATACAGACTATGAGTAGCTTGTTGGGTTAGAGCAAAAGGCCAGTAGATTCCACCACCTTCCTGAGTCTGCTGCTAGAGAATTCAGGCCCACCCAGACTCTCTTGTTCAGTGCCTCCTGTTTTGGGCTCCTTTCCTGTCAATGAGTCCTATCAATAAGGGTAACTGTGCGGACTAACTTAGCAGATTTGACTATTAGAACAAAGCTTTGGCTGAGTGATTGCTTTCACGCCAGGGCTTCACGGTTGAGAGAGGGGATCCAGGTGCCCACACAGGAAGAAATGATCTCAACAGATGATTTCCATACTTCTGGGATATTATAGAAGGGAGAAACAGCGTGATTCCACAAGATTTCTACAGAATTGACAGTAGCTTATCCAAAAGACAGGTGTTCCCGGACGTCTGCACACTGGGATCCCCACCAGATCACATTCCTATGCATTTGTCTCTTGGTCTGCCAGCTGTACTTTTGCTGTGCAGACTTGTGGGATTGTGGCAATGCGCCATAACCCACACACCACAACACACACACACACACACACACACACACATCAGTACTGAAGTCAAGGGCCTAAGCCCAGCCCATAGCACGTTTATCTCCCTGAGGTATTGGTTATGTTTTCCACTCTGACCACTGCTAACCCGGGATCGTCTGAACAAGCATACACCGTTGCCCTGGACTTTTCAGACAACATACTTACAAAGACAAAAGATGCCAATTAGTAGCATAAGAGAGAGAAAGAAGTATCATGCCGTAAGAGGAAGCCTAGGGGAAAGCCCAAATGGATGATCTTATGGAAACCCCATCAAGTAGTATAGTGAGAAGATGGAATAGTTTGGCAGGTCTTACTTGTATTTGGAGAGTAGGTTCCTCTCCACACCAATGACCTGAAGCAATTCATTAGCTACACTGAATCCTCTCCTGAAAGAAAGCAGTGCAATTTTTAGGAACCAGCTGCAGCAGCCAAGAGGCCCGAAGGTACAAAGAGTCCAGGTAACCAAAATGATTGAATTGTATATGGAAGAATAGGCCAGTCCCCTGTGCTGGAGAGTTCAGTAGGAGGTGGGGTATTCAGGGCAGGAGGGACTGAAGGATGCAGGGAGAAGCTGGCAGCCATTCTCCACTTCCACATGTTAAATGGGCACCTCAGCCTTTTGCTCCAGGTTTAGAACTGAACAAAACAAGTAAAATTGAATGAGACAAAATACTAAGTCTATTCTAAGCCTTGAACACAGTTCATACCAACTGAGGTTTTATTTATTTATTTATTTATTTATTTATTTATTTATTTATTTATGATTTCTGTCTCTTCCCCGCCACCGCTTCCC